TTGCATTGCATAACTTAATGTTATTAACACATTCATAAGGTTCATTCAGTGTTTACTTGATAGATGAATGTACAATATTACAATACGACTCATGTCATTCTAATTGGATACGATCATCAGTAGCACATCGTCTTAATTTGGATAATGAAATTATCCTATTTATATGGTCACTGGCCGATCGACAACCTATTTGGGCAACAAATAAGAAGCGATTTGCGAAGATTTAATCTATGTAGATCATTTGTGAATTTTTCGATATCGCCTTCGAATACCCACAACCAATTGATACGAGTGTTTTGAGGGCTTTGAGCGAATCAGTGCACCACTGGTTCGACCGGATCAAGAGATCCGCCGAGTAATGAGACCCTAATTTTCAAACTCCGAAAAGGATTATCTTCGGTAACATATCGAAATTCTCTTCTGCTATCGCACTACGGCATGCGGCGATCACTTTACTGGCCGGATCTCCAACTGAAACAAAAACACAATCAAACAATATCAGGACATTCTCAGATCTTCTTTTGAAACAATGAAATCAATTTTTGATCTCAGATATCAGATTTTTGGGATATTCAGAAACTTTTGAAAAATATTCGACTATTCCCAAAAAAATTCAAAGAAGCAGAAGTTGCTAACCACGGAGTCGTGCACCTTTCTCGATTGTTTTATTTAGTTCACGAAGTGTTTTCAACAGTTGTTCATGATTATTACATCGTACCATCTGATCGGTAACCAATGCTTGATTAAGGGTTTGAAGTTTTAAATAGTATTTTCGCATCATTTGTCTGAAATTCGCGCACATCGCATATTGAGTTTTTTCTGCATGGCTTAATGCAGTAATCGGATGGATATAAAGAAAGAGTCTTTGAAATTGAAACTACACAAATTGAAATGGCAAAAAAATTGAAAAAAAATGACAAATTTTTAATGAATCTTTTCTGCTACCAACTAACATCTGTCCTATAATACGGGCATCCTCGGCTCGAACAAGCATTTCCTTGACCGAATTTGCTCGTTCAGCTACTGCAGCCGCCAGTTGATCTCTCAATGCGAACATTTCATTAAGCTGAAAAATGGCGCAACTCAAATTTTTCACTAAAATATCGTACGGGACTTCATTTCTGGCATCATTACATTGCGAATATCATAATACCTCAGAGTTCCCCACCTTTGTTGAAATATTTCAAGCAGACTTCTATGTAATGGTTTAAAAAGTTCTCATCTGAGAAGAATAATGGGAAGAACCTTTTCGGTGAGCTCACTAAATGCCTTCATAGCCTTTGGGAAGCTGGCAATTGTGGTAATATTCGTGATATGAAAGTACTCAGCAATCGCTTGTATCACATTCCCAACCAGTTCCATATCGTCGTTCCTTACCGTTACCTTAAATTCAGGACATAGTCATTTATCAGCCAAATCTCGTCAGTTTCGAAACATTTACATTTCTATCGTGACTGATAATGCTCACTGCCGAAAGCCCTTAAAAATGATGGCTTCGTCTTTTTTTTTGAATGAGACTTTCCTCCCGATCAACTATGAGTTCTTATGTGGATCAATCAATTCCATCTATCTTAGTGTGAAAGTTCACTCTATATAATGATTAAACAATAGATAGTATAGTATCACCTTTCCAGAGTTATCCATTTCAATGAAGAGCATTCCAGCTGATCTCATGCTATAAAATCGCACACTTAACGTGCAATCCTCCTCACATCCGACCTCATCACATAGCAAAAAGTTTTCATTTATCCATGAGGCCAACTGAAATTTTAGTTGCATCGATAAAATACTTAAAATTTGCTTCGTTCATTCATTTTGTTTCATCCTATCCATAATGTTTCGATATGAATGCGAATTTAGAAATTCATTATCATCACCAATTGGTTGCTATAAATCTTCGATCAACAAATCAAAAGTATTTGGGAGTTTAAATGATGAGTTCCGTCCAATGTAAGCAAAACAAACCCGTGGAGGTCGTTCATTAATTGTGAAAACAGCATTTCCTTCAGGTGCGGGTGCCGTATCGTTGCACAGCGCAAACATCGAAAAACGTGGTAACGCTCGAGTCAATTCAAAAACATGTAAATGTGTACTGAAATACAATGGAATTATTGTCAGTTATTGATACAATCGTATGCCTTGCTATCATAATGAATTTCTTTATTACCACTTTCAACTTCAAACTCACGAAATCAAATTATCATAGTGATCTCTAGACAGTAATGATATTGTTTCAGTACTATTATTGATAACTGAATCTTCATAATTAACATTAAGTGTTTATCATAGTAATCACAATTCATCAAAAAACGTTCGATTCATCAATATATATTTGAATTTTGACAGCTCAACTCGTTCAGATAATTCGAAAGACTCTCATTAAAAAGATCGAATTCATTGCGAATAGATGATGTGAAATTGATCGAAATTCGTTGTAATCAAAATTTCACGCCTCAGTTGCGTTCCCTACGAGCAATTAAAACAACAAATGTAATCATTTCCTTTGTCAAATTATGTCATTCCATATTCATTTCATTAACGCTCTCTCGAAGCAAACATTTCTAATGCAACTAACACACAAAACAATTCTTTAAAGGAAACTTCTTGAAATTCTCACAAATGAGAGTATAAAATTTTAGGAATTTTTAGACTTGTTGCATTTAGTGTTGATAGACAAACCTTTCTGGGTAGCCGATAAATGCCTTAACGTGCAGATCAACAGCGATATCCTTGTCGGGTCGAAGTTGAACGAAAAGTTTAGATGAAAAATCGTGTGTTGGATGGCTGCAAAAATGCATCCAGCTCAATTCGTTCGTCATTATTAATGCAATTCATCAATTTATTCGGAATTCGATTCTATCATTCAAAAGCGAAGACTTGCTTTATTTATGTAGATGTATACGTATGCTATGCATAGTGTAGCGATTCCCTCACAAGGGAAGGTCACGAACTTACCCCACGTTTCGGGATGAGATATATATCATAATGTAGATCTCCTCGAGCGGATCACGAATATGTAAAGCATTTTTGCGAAGCACAAAGGGGACGCAAGATATGGCGGGGAAAAGATTTTCACTATATTGAAGTAACGTTTTGAATTTTGATTTGGCATCGGCGGCCTGGTCTAGTGTCAGCTATTTGATTATCGAGAACTACAAACTTGATAAAAGATTCGCCCGAAAAAATTCCTTCAGCGAAAACGATAACAGCTCGAATGATTGCGTCATTGGAAACACTCAATTGGAGCTCCACTGATGGAGGATTCACCTCCGAATTCACCATTAGACACGTCTCCAAATGTGTATTTGCCTGTAAGAAGAAGAAGGTGAATTTGAGAATTTTTGTATGCAACAAAAGACTAATCGAGTTTAAAAGTTCCACAGTCAAGTGGTAAATTATTTATTGTTTATCACAAAATTATTTTATTGTGAAGACGACATTGGTTTTTGTTCTAACTTCAACAGTCACCGATTTCGAATGAACATTTTCATTTATAATTTCTGATTCGATGTAACTGACCGGCACTTGTCTTTCACTCTCAACGATTTCACTGACAGTACCTTGTCGATTCATTTCATAATTCTTTAATTCCACCTGCAAATCGGCTAATTCATTAAAGGAAATGAAATACATCTTTTTTGCTGATTACTTCAGCGTATACTTAAGCGAGCGAGCTCGAGAACATTTGATTCACATCAAAAATGAATTGTTGAGGCACTAAATGAACTGAAATTAGATTGAAATCGAAAAGACTATATAAAAATGGTCCTACTAGAAGGCTATGTTTACGAATACCCAAATCGTGCAATATGCTCTGTGCATCGTCCACATTCGATTGTTCTTCACTGATCTCGAGTCCTCGAACTGAAATCCAATAAAATGCACACATGAATTTTCATACTGTTCGTTTCAATTGAATGCTTCCTTGAATAACTATGACTGCTGCTGCAACTTACCGTTTCCATCAAGCATAACAACTGTTAATTGAGAGTTTTGAATGAATGCATTCGCAACTTGTCCATTCACGCTTTCCTTCAGCTTCACCTCACCGGTTTCTGCATTTCGCATATCGATCTGAAGTCGTTTAATACTCACTTCCCTCACGATCAGAGTATACGAATGAACATTTATTTGGTATGATAATTCTTTATTAAGATATTTCAGTCCCTTATCAATACCATGAGTGGTGTAAAGATTGAAAATTTAAAAGATGACTGAAGGCCAGTTAGTGAAAATTTACAATGTTAGTCGTACCTTTCCTCCTGACCAAGCACAAGCCAGCGTTTCTGGATCTGGGAATGTCATCAGTGAGATCACCTGATTCTTACTTTTAATACGCCACAATCGAGATTCGCCCTGATATGCACCCAGTGTGCCATTGGCTAGTGCATATGCAAAACGCCCATGTCCCAGATCGTGAAGCGATGTGACGGCATCAGTTTCGGATAGTTCGAATAGCAACAGATCATCTTTGAAAACGCGAATATCAAAATCCTCAGAACCAGCCACTAACTGTAATATTCACAAGAGATTTTTCTTCTGATACGATCGTCATCATTTTTTAAAGCGAAGCTCATCGGATAAAACTGTAATTTGGACATTTTTAAAATTATCGTATTTGATAGCAGAGAGGGATGAAAATTCCGAGTTATACGATTCAAATTATATCGAATTGTTCAGTCCTGTCATCGAACCAAGTGAGTAGGTGAAGTGTGTGCAATTTTTCAAAATATCCGCAGAATTTATGACCAGTAACAGGTTGTGCTCACTGCTTCAGCAAACCATTGATTCTATTGTTCTGTACGTACAATAATTGAAATTGAATCAGTCCTATCACAGTAACCTACCTCATTGATTCCATCGTTGTCAACGTCACAAAGACAAAGTGAAAGTACGTTATCGCCGGTGACCGTCCAAAATGAGTCGTTACCGTTTGCGTCAAGACCCCAAATGGCACAATTACCTCCGCACATTGCCAGTACTCCGTGTGAACTGAATGAACCCACCTGAAATGTTTTCTCACTTAACGATAATGTGCAATGAGTGTCTTCAGCCATATGCATTTGAATGTGTTATGGCAATTTTTGGAATTATACTCGAATAATAGTTGAACAATGAAATGTCCAATTTTTCCATTAAACCAAAATTAGTCATGAGTTGCTTAGTTGAGGCTAAATGAGAGCTGCGGAGTGGAAACAATGGAAGCTTTCAAAAATATTATTCAATGCTGACAACAGCAAATGATAAATGTTGTAACCTGAATGCATGCGATACCATCGGCCATGTCTCTACGAAACAGATTCGTGTTTCGTTGTAGATCATAAGCGAGCACACTGCTTGTCGTGCCAACAATAATCACATCGTAGCTTGTACCGAGCGGAGCCACTGTTAACGCAAGAATCTTCTCGTTTATATTCAGCACTGTTTCACTCTCGTGAATTACGATCTCAAAGTTAGACGAGCTTTCATGTGATGAAGAAAATCCAAATTTGAATTCCATTCGAAAGTATTGACCGAAAACGTGGATTTGAAACAATGATCACTGGATCTTATTGAAACATTACTCAGTTTTGTTTTCTCATCGTGGATCCAAAATAAATTTCTCTTGGGCACTTCAATTACATCATTAATTGATCAATAGATTAAATACGATAGGATGAACAATGAATTTTAAGTATATAAGCAATTTTGGTGTGATTGATGAGTAGGAAATGCTCAGCTTTGCTGGCTGCTACCTTGTTCGTGACCGTAGCAACGACGAGTCTTGATCGTGCCGTATCGTCGAGTACACCCTGTTGTGCACATTTTGTCACAGTTCGGTACGGTAATGAAAATGAAAACGCAGTTCGAAGTGCCAGCATATTGACTGTTCCCTAGTGAGCATGATGCGACGATCATAGAATTCGTATCTGAGCACTTTGGTGTTGCCATTGGTAACCAATCGGATGATTTCCTCCTCGCATACATTTGCTGTGAATGGATATAAACGGATCGGATTTGCAAAATATTGAGTGGATGTTGGCTATAAGCTGTGAACTGATGCAAAAGGTTGTTACCGAGACCACAGCCCATTATCAGTTGATTTGATAATGCAGAGTTGAGCAAAGAAATTGATTGCTCACTTATGTTTCGGCTGACATTATTTAGCGAAATTTATCGTTTCAGTGAAACTGCTAACAAGGAATAGTCAATATTATTCAAACGTTTATTGCATTCATCGTGAACACCTCTCGGCGATATTCCACGGAAATTAATGACAAATAACATTCAAACAAATACAAATAAATAGGGCAAACAAGCAAAAAAAACGACCCGCACAACAGAATATCAGTCAATTTAATGACCACACTGGAATTAATGATTGTAATCAAAAGGGCTAAGAACAGTGAAATTCGCAAATATTGCAAATTCATTAGTCTCACAATGGAATCAGTGGATTTTTAGGAAACAATCCAACTGGATCTTACTGTTGGATACGTTCTGAAAACATTGAGGAGGATTCGATATTACTTCTCAACCAAAATCATCTTGCTCATGGTGGAGTTTGTGTTTATTGTGTAATACGATACAAGTTGTAAGAATTTGGCTTTCTCAGTCACTGAATTCATTGAAAATGTGTTCAGAATCGTTTCTCAATAGCGAAAAAATGCTTTTTTCTAGAGGTGAGCGCGAGTTACACTTGTTCCTATTATTCAGAGTACACAGAGTTTCATGGTGTTGATTAAATGCGAATAGTGATCAACTGAGTTTTGCGTACGGCAGCTAATTTGTGCATATTTCAAAACTTATTTGCGCACTCAAAAGTTTGCTTGAAAACGTCCTTGTTTGAATGTATCAACGCAGAAATCTATCGATATTATCCACTCTAAATGAGTTTACTAATCATTGCTTCAAGCAATTATCAATATTTATCTTGTACGATTTATTAAAAAAATGCGGACTTGATGGCTGACACAAGCGCACCAAATTGAGCATATTGACAAAAATGTGTTCGATAATAGTCTTAGCCAAAGGTTATCAGTAATCTGATAGCGTCGTTTCATCNTGAGCATATTGACAAAAATGTGTTCGATAATAGTCTTAGCCAAAGGTTATCAGTAATCTGATAGCGTCGTTTCATCGGGAATCAAGTGCTGAAAGATCATCAAGACGGCGATACAATTATACTGGTTGGGAATATAATCGAGGTGCGCCTACTAATGCATGGAATACAACCACGCATACAGACGGGTAGAAGACGTGATAAGCATTCAGCGATATCGGCGTGTCGTACCGTGATGATGACAATATTACTCAACGGAGCGATATTGCAACTGACTGCCGCATACACGGACACAAAACTCGTATCCAGCTGATCCGGTGATCCCTTTATAGAAAACTTAACGCATATTGGCATTACGTAAAGCAACAGTGTAGCTATACATGATAAACTCATTGTTATGGTCAGCTGCCGTTGTCGATACTCGAATGACGATGGTGGTGCAGGTGAATTCTGAAAGTTGGCTCTCCTTCGTCGAATGATTCTATAGTGAATCTACCTTTAAAAATATTATTTTGGGCTAGTTGAACTGTAATAATCAAGATTCTTGAAATATC